GAATAAAGAGGAATAGTGAGGAATAGGGGTGAATAGGGAGAAATAAAGAGGAATAGTGAGGAATAGGGGGAATAGGGGGGAATAAAGAGGAATAGTGAGGAATAGGGGGAATAGGGGGGAATAAAGAGGAATAGTGAGGAATAGGGGTGAATAGGGGGAAATAAAGAGGGATAGTGAGGAATAGGGGTGAAAAAGGGAGAATAAAGAGGAATAGTAAGGAATAGGGGGGAAGGGGATAGTATGGTTCTGCGCGGAAAGAGGGACGAAAGGGAGGGAGGTAAAAAGAGGGGAAGAGACGGAGAATGAAGGGGAAAGAGGTAATATAAAGTGGAATTAATCAAAGCGGAGAAAGTTACAAAGTTATTTCCTAAAGTTGAAATATATTTCCTAAAGTTACAAATTCATTTCCCAAAGTTACAAATTTATTTTCTAAAGTTACAAATTTATTCCTAAAGTTACAAATCATTTCCTAAAGTTACAAATTAATTTCCTAAAGTTACAAATCATTTCCTAAAGTTACAAATCATTTCCTAAAGTTACAAATCATTTTCTAAAGTTACAAATTTATTTCCTAAAAATATAAGATAAAGAGTCACTAAAATCTATTTGAAAACGAATTTGTTTTTAGTATGAGACATTCCTAGACAGAGTAAATATCTAATGTAGAGCGGAAATAAATGAAAAAATGGTCAAGAGGTTGTGAAGGATGTACAGAATCACCTCTGTCTGTTATCATAAATTCACTATTGTGTGCAAGTGAAAACTTGTTTCTATACTTTGCCAAATCATTAGTAAGACTATAAATGTCTATATTTATAGCGGAATACTTGTTAACCCAGGAAATGTCGAATTTTAAGAATTTCTGGTCGTGTTTAAAGTTTTATCATTTGTCGGTAACCCTGTATGCCATTATTGACGTATAATAAGCTTAGAGTACAGTAAAACAGAATAGTAATTTTATACTTTGTTTGAGTTAATTCCTCTCTATATTTTTATTTTTACTCTGTGCAGCGCTGTTTTTGAAATAAATTTTTCAATATTCTTAGCTTTACTCTGTGGCGCTGTTTTTGGAATAAATTCCTTTCTTTTTTTTATATTCCCTCTGTGGCGCTGTTCTTGGAAGAAATTCATCTCTATTCTTATCTTTACTCTGTGGCATTAAGCAACAATATATTTAACAATTAGAAACTGGACATTTGTCTTTCTAACAGTGACAGATGGCTTAGATTACTCGAGATGAGAGAAACAAGAAAATATACAAATTCAAAAATAACTATTCTTTTCTGTTAACTGACAGTTTTATTAGCTTGTTATTTCCTTACTTGAATTTCGGAAAAGTAATTTAATAGCTTCAAAATGTCGCAAACTTTACAAATGCTAAAATAAATTGTAATGAAAATGCAATTTTTTTCTGACAGGTAAAAAAAATCCCAGGGGTCATTTAAGATTCCACAAAACTATAGTGTTCAAGAGACAGAAGCCAAAAAGAGGAACACTTCTGCCTCGGGGTTATTGTGAAATAAAACCTCTAAATCTTGAAAAGACTACATCTAGTGTCCTATCTGTATTGTTGTTAATATATGCCAAAAACTTAAAGCAAACAATTTTGTTTCTTAGCTAGCCTCTAATAATTTTAATAATCTTGATTTATTTTAAAATATTCGTTTTCAGCAGCACCCTTAAGGCCTACATTTGATCAATAATGTGGAAGGTATTGTAGTTTTTCTAGGTTTAAAAGCATTTAATTCTGATAGAAGGTATTGTCATTTTTCTAGGCTTACAAGCATTTAATTCTGATGGAAGGTATTGTCGTTTTTAAGAGCATTTAATTCTGATGATTCCAATTTTTTCCCATGCAATTAAAATGCGCAAGTCAATTGAAAATACTCAGTTTTCTAGATTATATTTTGAACAGACAAAGCTTGAAAGGGTACCATTGTGAATCGTGAAAGATCACTTGAAATTACGCTTACAGCTATAAGTACAGCCCAGTAAAATAAAACAAACAAAAGTTTAATCAAAACTAGGATGACAGCCTAATAAAAGAATTACAAATTGTCTCGTTTTATTGTAGAACTTTCATTTTAAAATTCAACAAAAATGATGAATTTCTCTTATTTCTGCAATCTTTAGAGAAAAGTAGCTCGAGTCAAATAACAACAGGCGAAAACTTATTCCAAAATTCTGAAAGATAAACCGCAGAGCGGATATTATTTATAAACATACACAAGGATACTGAAATGTATACATGAATATACTGGGGTCCCTCTTTGAAATATATATTGATGTTTCTATTATCTGCAAACGTTGATTTCCATATATACAAAAAAATCCGCTAATTTTTAGTTTAAGGATGTACGACAAAAATTGGTGGGTTAAACTAGGGTTTCCAGCGGAAAGAAACGATCGTTGCGTGCAAATTCCATATTTTTCGCGAACTGTTACCAAACCTCAATTGCAAAACGGTGTAGTAACAGTTCGCCTAATCACGTTTCATCCAATCACGTTTCACCCAAAACGTTTCACCCAATATCACGTTTCACCCAATTTACATTTCACCCAATACTACGTTTCATTTGAATTTATAAATGTCATTTGTCTTACCATCATTTGTCCTACAAATCAGTTGTCCTACAAATCATTTGTCCTACAAATCATTTGTCCTGCATAACATTTGTCTTGCAGTAAATGGAAAACATCATTTGTCCTACACCTAATTTGATATTTTAATAAGATTCACCGACATAATTTCAAACGACCGTGGGTCAATGCCATAGGGCCAAACGACATAGGGTCAAACAACCAAGGGTCAAAAAGTGCGACAAACGGGCAATTTTTTTGTGGAAGATAGTACATTATTTAACATTGAAGAGGCAGCAGTGTTCGGCCCCCTAGCCTATTCTAGCCGCAGCCCTCGGCCCAGAAATTGTCTTAACCTAACCTAACCCGAAATAAGATGAGAGACAGCATATTTAACATTTAAGAGGAAGCAGTGCTCGGCTAAGTAAACGAGGGTAAGAGTAATCTTCAAATAGTTTGAATTTCCAGTTTAAATTGTTCAATGTTTCTGTAATATATCTGAGACTGGCATATTGATGTTAAGTGTTAAGGGAGATGTTTGTCCGCTAGTAGTTTGTTTGTTTGTTTAATTGTTAGTTTATGTGTTTGTTTGTTTGTTGTCTGTTTGTTTGTTTATTTGTTTGTTTATTGTTTCGTCTTTTTAAGAATGTTTAACTTTTGTTATTTTTTTATTTCTTTACATTTCCATCTATATATCTATTTATATTTATATATTTATTTATATACAGTGATAACCAGAAAACTCTGGAATAGGAAGTCGACTTTCAAACTCAATGTTTTACTTTTAATAGCACATTGAACATGAGATGATGAGACACAGCAATTGTGCAACGTAAACAGGCCCATTTTACCTAATATGTAATTTAATAACTTTCAAGTAAAGCTATTTGCTTTAAACAACATCAGAACACTTCAGAAATGCTATAATGTCGTCTTCTATCTATCTATCTATCTACCTCCTGTGGTGGAACATCGAATGATACAGTTCTAAGATCAACACACTTGTAGGAGTCTACACACGGTATAATGAAGAATATTCCAGGGCCCTAAAAATAAATAAAGATATTCCAGGGTCCTGAAAATAGATAATGGTATTCTAGGTTCATGTAAATCTTGTAAATAAACATAAGTATTAAAGGGAGTGACCGGCTATGTAAGGTAGTTGAACTGAGTATGCAGTGGAAAACCTCTTTCGGATTCATTTGAGACACATTAAACTTTTAAAAGATCTGTAAATCCTGAGTTTGAGCGAAAATTCGACGTTCAAAACTCCTACTTTGGGTTGGAAACGTTTTCAGAATCGGTTCTTTTAAAGTCATGAAATAATGACAACGAAAAATAATGTAAAAATTATACAGTTATCTAAGTAGATGGTTAGGAACATATTTCTCAAAAGAAATTTGTCAATAAACCAATACTAGAATCAATTATTTCGTTGTCATCACTAAATTGAATTTCTTATTTTCTTTGAATTTATTCGCAGATTTCTTTAAATTCATCAAATGTCGTCTTTTCAATAATAATTACAGAAAATCTGCAGAAAATCTTTGTGAATAATGAGAAACCAGAATAACGAGAAAATAGAAACTGATAATTGAACAAGATTACTTATTTTCGATGATAAGATTGAATTTAATTTTTCAGGGCCGTGTAAATAACTAGTGGTATTCCCGGTTTCCCTAAATATATAGCGGTATTTGTTTCAAAATCCCTTTTAAAAATTAACGAGTGATCCCTTTAAAAAATACCTTAGCTCCCCCTTTCCTAAGTCTGCCAAGTCTAAAAATAACAGCTCTCTCATACTCCTGAACCACCTAAACATTTTTAGAATATTATATTTTTCTAAAATTTAGCATCTTATCTCAAATTTACAAATTGTGAAAATCAAGTAATCAAAGGAATTTTACACTCACCACAAATTCAATTTTCTTTGCAACCTTAGATCAGAACTTTTGTTTTTTAAATTTTTAAATTGGAGATCAATGTTTGATCCTTCACTTTAGTTATCTTTGCAGGCTATACCCACAACGGGATAAAAATTATAATCCGTAAATCTGCACACTCCTGTATGCCAAGTCCATTAGTGCCTGATCCAATCAGGGTTCAGTCATGTGTTTGTTGTCTCTTCTGAACCAATAAAAATTGCATGTAGGTAACATCTATCTTTCTATCTATCTCATCATCCAATCAGAGATATGAATCCTTATATCGGCGCTATCAGTAAATGGAAATATTTACTTCTACTGAAACTATAGTGTGCATTAAATGGAACACACAAGTGCTGCCTTATGATTGTTTAAATCTTTGCTGTTTCAAATATTAAATACGATACCAGAGATGGAATTTAAAGAATTTGAGCCGCGGTTATAATCCGCCAAAACCCGGGTTAAATTAAGCGCTGGCTTAAATCTTGAAACATTTGATACAATTTTAAGTGGAACCAACCATGTTTAAACCGCGGCTTAAATTTAAACCGCCGCTCAAATTCTTTAAATTCGGCCACAGTTTGCATAGATATGGAGATTAAAAATAAATATATCTCTAACAATCTGCAATGTTCGAAATTTTTCGATGCTCAAGTGTTAGGCGTTCGAACAAAAAGTTTTAGCGTACCCTAATAATATGGATGATCGAAAAAATTTTCGAAAATGCCTGAAAAAATGAGAGGATTAAAATAGCCAATAACATTATAACAATGCTTTTTTTTTCGAATTTTTGAAAGTTATGAAAAAATGTATGGCTAATATTGTGAAATGTGAACAGTTTAATTTGCATTTCAATGCAACTCTGACAAAACTTACATTTTATTTCACTTTACGAAAATTGCTGAAAAATTCAATTCAAAACTTATTTTCAAAGTTTTTAAGAGGGTTATAATTATTTACAAAGAATATCCTTACTACAATCTTGTTAAGGTTTTTGGTCTAAAATTTCAAAAATATGTCTATATATAAATACTTTGTTTGTTTGTATCCAATAAACGCCAAAACGGTTGAACCGATCGGGTCCAACATTTTTGAGGCAACTCATATGACCCAAAGGGAGGTTTACAGTTGCTCAGAGTTGCAAAAATTTGTTTTGCCTAATATTTTGAAAATTCACGAAAAAGTATGATTAAATTCGCTCTTATATATATAAATTTATATATATACTATAGCTGGCCTAACGGCTTAACCAAACTGGCCGAATATTTTTTTGAAACCCATGGGTACCCCGGGTGTAACATAGGCTAAAAAATCGTTGTTTATATTGCAATACGAAAAGAAAATGCTAACAGATAGAGCCACAATTATAAGTTGAAATAGAAAATGAGCGAAAAAAAATATAAATAGATATAAAAATCTTTTAGTTTAGGACAGTCGGGCTTTAAAACATTAAACATATTTGCTTTTTTACTGAACAATGGTTTCCGTTCGCTGTTAACAAATAAATACACTGAATTTTGCTTAAATTTTTAAAAATCCGTTAATTATAACTGAAGTTTTCCCAGGCCTACCCTAACCTCAATCTAAAAATTGGCAATAATCCCTTTAAGACTTTTTAAATGTAGTTGACAGCGGGATAAAATAATTTCCCCTGAACCCGGAAGTATAAATTTCCATTCCAATTTAATATTCCATGTTTAGAATAAATACCACACGTGGAATTAGAATAAAGAAAATTTGAAAAGCTGAAAAGAAAAAGTAACAATATGAAGCACGTGAAGCGATTGGAGCCAAATGAGCAACGGAGCATATGCAGTATATGGAGCATATGTAGTATATACAGTATACAGAGCAAATGTAGTATATGCAGTATACAGAGCATATGGAGTATATACAGTATACAGAGCAAATGTAGTGTATGCAGTATGCAGAGCATATGTAGTATATGTAGTATGGAGCTTTCTCGTTTTATCTAATCGATGAAACAAATTACTCTCACGCGGTAATTAAAGCGGAGTTTTATTCCAGCTGACGTTTATTTTGAGTTATATGTTACTGGCAAAGTTAATGAAAGTAATTACAAGTTTTCCGTGGTTTTATACAAGCGTAGTTAAGCTAATCACAATACAGGTTTTCAGTAGTTACTTACAGTAGTTACAATGAACAACATAATATATTTAGGTGTGTTCAGGTTTAAAAATATAGGGTTTACTGCGATATTTGTTACATACAGTCCCTTTATAATAAAATGGAATACAGTCCCTTTATAATAAAATTTAATACAGTCCCTTTATAATAAAATGGAATACAGTCCCTTTATAATAAAATTGAAAACAGTCCCTTTAAAATAAAATTGAATACAGTCCCTTTATTATAAAATGGAATACAGTCCCTTTATAACAAAATTGAATACAGTCCCTTTATAATAAAATGGAATACAGTCCCTTTATAATAAAATTGAATACAGTCCCTTTATAATAAAATTGAATACAGCCTCTTTATAATAAAATGGAATACAGTTCCTTTATAACAAAATTTAATACAGTCCCTTTATAATAAAATTGAATACAGTCCCTTTATAATAAAATTGAATACAGTCCCTTTATAATAAAATTGAATACAGCCTCTTTATAATAAAATGGAATACAGTCCCTTTATAACAAAATTGAATACAGTCCCTTTATAATAAAATTGAATACAGTGCCTTTATAATAAAATGGAATACAGTCCCTTTATAATAAAATTAAATACAGTCCCTTTATAATAAAATTGAATTCAGTCCCTTTATAATAAAATTGAATACAGTCCCTTTATAATAAAATGGAATAAAGTCCCTTTATAATAAAATGGAATACAGTCCCTTTATAATAAAATTGAATACAGTCCCTTTATAATAAAATGGCATACAGTCCCTTTATAATAAAATGGAATAGAGTCCCTTTATAATAAAATTGAATACAGTCCCTTTATAATAAAATGGAATACAGTCCCATTATAATAAAATTGAATACAGTCCCTTTATAATAAAATTGAATACAGTCCCTTTAAAATAAAATGGAATACAGTCCCTTTCTAATAAAATTGAATACAGTCCCTTTATAATAAAATGGAATACAGTCCCTCTGTAATAAAATAGAATATAATGAGGTTCCCAATACTGCATTGTAAGAACTGCACTGTACTTTACTATATATATAGCAAATCACGGAAACATGATATTCTGTAAAACTGCAGTACGTTGTACATTTTAATGATTTAATGTTGTAAACTTAGACATAATGAAATTATTCATTGAAACTGCATTTCAACTGAATACTTGTGATAGCTTAAAAATACATATATTAAACTTTAACATGCGATAAATACGTAATGCGATGGTCTTAATAATGTGATAATGATATCATTGTAGGAGTTATAACTATGTCAATTCCTGTTAGCTTTGTAACCTAAGCTATTGAATAAAGTTAGTTGATTGAGACTCTGCTTTGATTACAATATTAGAAGTAATTTGGTTTTCGTTGAAACATACAAGTGTAGATCATACCTTGAGTATTGGTAATAATCTATTGATTGCTAGTGTCTGTATTGACATCGATAGCTAACGATATAGCGCCCTGTATAGTGGCGTTGATTAGTCACGGGATTGTAGCCGAGTGGATCATGTCCTAATAAGACATAGATCAATTGATTGCTAGTGTCTGTATTCACATCGATAGCTAACGATATTGCTCCTTGTATAGTGGCGTTGATTAGTCACGTGATTGTGGCCGAGTGGATCATGTCCTGGTTAAAACATTGATCAAATTGGTTCATCCCTATCATTTGGGATCGATATATATATTGCTTGTTGATAGCTACGCTTGTGTCCCTGTGTGGCATTTAGAGCCTGGGATTCAGTTCTGGTTAAGTTTAAAACCGGACGGATTGTACCTGGATAGATACGTTTCGAGACCTTGTTATAGAGTAGGTGTTTACTACATATACTGCACTGTATACAAATATAGATAGATAGATAGATAGATAGATAGATAGATAGATAGATAGATAGATAGAGAGATAGATAGATAGATAGACAGATAGATAGATAGATAAATAGATAGATAGATTGATAGATAAATAGATAGATAGATAGATAGATAGATAGATAGATAACTAAAGAAAACATCAATCGAGTTAACGAGAGACAGAGAAAATGGAGAATTCTTGAAAATCAGAAACTTTAAAGAAAGAGATTGAAGAATTCCCAACTGGTGCTTAAAGGGACTGTACATGGGCAACCCTAGTACATTTGAATTTCCGAGCCGGGTCAACCTTTCCGTCCCAGTTTGTACTGTATCGCCCAGACATTGGGTATATAAAGCAGACACTCAATAGGACTAGCCGGTGCAACAAGGTTGACGCAGTCAGACTTTAGGTTGAATTTACTTTTACTAAAGGGGCAGAGGTGCTTGTGTAGAAATAATTTTAAATGCGTCTCTATGTGCACAGAGCTGATTAACAACAGTACCCTTTTTAGACCTTTATCTGATAAAAGTTCCGCATTTATTCATCAAAGAAAACAAAGGAAACTATCAGAATTTAACAATTTACAAAAAAACATTAGTATAGCCTCATTACCACACAGATTAAGGTATTGTGAATGTGAAATGCCATTTTATTAATTGAGTATTAAATTGAAGAACGTATACAGTTCCTTTAAGAATTCTTGTTTGAAAAATGAATGTTTTTAGTCCTTGAAGCATTTATTTGTGTGTCAGTTTTATTATAAAATGAAAAATTACAAGTTTACAACATTTTGATAAGAAGTTTTTTCTTTTCTATTGAAGCAAATATCTGTATATCTGTGTATCTGTATATCTGTTTATCTGTAAATTTGTATATCTGTATAT